CACGTGATAGGGCCCTGCTGTCCTGGAGATGGTTGAACACCTGCCTGCCCATGGACAGTGGTGAATGAAATACTTGTTTTGCTCTGTGTGAAGCTTTTGCTTTACCCATTAAACTGTCTTTATCTCAACCCACAAGTCTTCTCACTTTTAACCTAAAAGTCCTCTCAGCATGCTGGTGGGGCAGTGAGCGAGTGAGTGGCTTGAGTGGGGCTATTGCTGGCTGAGGTTAAACTATGGTACCTACTTATCTAATGCAGGCAAATCTTATTTTGCCTATGCTGTACCCAGCAAAAAAATAGGGTTTTATTTATGAAACATTAATAATTTTGTAAATATTTAGGGCAGTTATTCTTAACCCAAAGAAAGGGCAAGGGAACTTCCTCTTCCTTTCATGTGGACAGCTACACAAAAAGACATTTACTATTTGTCTGCACCTTGCTTAAGTCTTTCCGGTACTGAGTGTTTCATCCAGAACAATAGCTGCTTCTAGCTTTCAACAAACATATCATGCTACCAGAGCCAGCCCACATTCCTGGGATCAGATAATTCCAGCTCTCAAAATGTACACTGCCACCACAGACAACACTGCACCCACATACCAACATGACCATTTCTATCATTATACACCACCTTACTCAGCTCACAGTCCACCATTGATCACAAAATGGTATTGCCAGTATTCAGCTTGCTTACATTCTAGTTAAAGTAACTGAGGAAAGACCCTTGAACAAGATATGAAAAAAATGAAGGAATAAAAGGTGTTATGAAACATGAATGGCCAAATACTAACCTCTTTACCCTTGCAGGATGTACTTGCCTAATCCTGTTACAAATGTGCTCCTGATCCTGTACATATGGGAAAAGAGCAGCGGCTTCTAAAAACAAATCCAAGTATGAGATTTCCTCCATATCTCAAATTCATAAACTAGCTAATGCTGGACACAGGAAATTATATTCCATTTCTATACATCAAGCCAATACCAGAAATTAAATAGTTTCCTATCTAAATGATTCTAAATGACACAAATTTTCTCACTGAAAATTGAGTTTCATTTGAAACCCCAACTGAATCTCGAAGTACACCCCAGTGACACATAAAAGATGAAAAATTTGGGAGCCGTCTTGCCTACAGCTTGCACTGCTCTGTGTCACTTCAGATAGTTCTGCCCATGGCTAGAGGTGTCTGTGCCCTTATTTCACTCTGTAGATGTATGTGGCATGCACAGGAAAGACAGCTGCTGTTAAAGAAAGCCAGGGGATAAAACAAACAAATGGGGAAGAAACCTAACACTACAAGGTTCCTTTCTCCCAGTGCCCTCTCTCCAATTAGCCACCATGAAAGTGGACTCTCCTCTTATGAAAGAATCATAGAATGGTTTGGGTTGGAAGAGGCTTAAAGATCATCTAGCTCCAACTCCATGCCATGGGCAGGGACACCATCCACTAGACCAGGTTGCTCAAAGTCCCATCTAACCTGGCCTTGACCCATACTTTGAAGGGAGACAAGGTCTCCCAGCAGTTTTCTTCATTTCTGGCCTCTGCTGGCTATTTACCTTGAGCTGTTTATCACTAAGTGGATTTTTGATATTGTTAAGCCAGAGGGAAAGAAGGAGCAAAAGAAAGGACTGTAGCACCCTTCCTCATTCTGAAGGGTCTTAATCTATTTTTATCCCCTCGGACACCCTGGTTAATCACAGATTGAAGTTAGTCAGTGAAAGCAGAAAAGTAAAGAAATTTGTGTGTCCAACATGCACCTAGTCAAAAAACACATGAACTTTTCTCTGAAAAAACAAGACATCTGTCCTCCTGGGCACAGATGATTCCTTTCTGCTATATCAGTGGATTATCTGTTATCATATAGGAAAACCAAGACAAAGTGGCTCAGGTGGCACCTCCTCCAGAGACAGTATTAGAGGTATTAAAACTTCATAAGCTGCCATACAATAGACAAAATGCCCTTTACCATCATGCTGCAATATAAATTCAGTGGCGGAAATGATGGAGCACTCCAAGAGATATCACAGCAGGAAAGATACTTCTCTGTAATTACAGCCTACCTTAGGAAGATGAATTCTTCCTGTTTGAACTGTGGCAATCAAACTGTGATTCAACACAGTAACAGCTGAACACCACACAGATTTTCACTCACTCCTGCACCCTCACACAGTGGGATGAGTGAGAAAATAAGAAAAAAAGGCATAATTCCTGACTTTGGGGTGACCTAATTGCAGCCTTCAGGTACCTGAAGGCAGCTGAAAAGAAAGGTGAAGAGAGACCATTTACAAGAGCCTGTAGTGACAGGACAAGGGGTGATGGCTTCAAACTAAAAGAGAGTAGGTGTAGACAAGATATTAGGAAGAAATTCTTCCCAGTGAAGGTGGTGAGGCACTGGAACAGGTTTCCCAGACAAGTCATGGATGCCCCATCCCTGGAACCGTTCAAGGCCAGGTTGGATGGGGCACTGAGCAATCTGCTCTAATGAAAGGTATCCCTTCCCACAGCAGGGGTATGGAATTAGATGACCTTTAAGGTTTCTTCCAACCCAAGCCATTGTATGACTTGAGACAAAGAGAATAGAACAGAAAAGGGGGGGGGGAATTAAAATAATAATAATAATAATAATAATAATAATAGAATATATAACACAAATTATGCACAATGCAAATGCTCAACACCTGCTGGCTGAAGCCCAGCCAGTTCCCAAGCAGCATCTCTCAGCCAGCTTTTACCTCATTTATATCCTGAGCACAACACCATACAGTATGGAATATCCCTCTGACCAACTGGGGTCTGCTGTCCTGGCTACGTCACCATCCAGCTTCTTGTGTTGCCCACCCTCTCAGCCTCCTCACTGGCAGGGCAGTATGAGAAGCTAAAGTCCTTGACTTAGCATAACACTGCTTAGGAACAACTAGAACACCAGTGTTACCAACATTATTCTCAACCTAAATCCATAATACAGCACCATATCAACTACCAGGGATAAAATTAACTCAATCCCACTTGAAAACCAGGACAACAATATAGAAAATAATTAAAACCTCCCAAGGTAGAAGTGACATACTTTTTAGTTCTCAGTCTATAGCTTAAAATGTCAGCAGGTTCTAGCACAGTAAACTCCATAGCAGTAGGCAATTTGTACAAAACTCAAATTCTTGTTAAAACTGCAAATTCTCTCAAATAGAAAACACTATCAGAATATTTGCTGTGCTTTCAGGTTTATTACATGCATGCTCACGTCACTCAGCAGCACAAATTCCATCTGTAGTATATGAGTACCATGTCACCTTTCTGCTGACTTTGCAATAACCTGTACAAAGCATTTAAGCTGTCTCTCCATCTGCTAAGAAATGGTGAGCCCTGAGCAATTTCCATACAGCCCCATGGACTTTTTGAGCAAGTTTGGATGAGCAGCATGAGGATATTCTAGTGCTTTACAACTTGCATCATGCAGCATCATGTTGCTGATCTGTCAAGCATGTTAAAACCAGACCTTTCTCCTTGTGAATTCACAGCCTTGCAGTCTGCAAAAACAGTCATTGAACAGTCCAGTTCCAGCCTCTATAAATTGTTCAGTTAGAGCTGTTGGGTTGGTTTGGTTGGGTTTTTTCTAACCTATTACACTAATTCTTGATAGGACTTTTTTCATTCCCATATTAATGCAGTCTGTCCAGAGTTAAGGTGCATTTACTACTCCCAAGTGAAAAAGTTAACCAGAAAATAACGAAAAGAATTTCTTTCAGTTCAACATAGTGGAAATAACAATCCAACAAAGAACAGATGAAGAGGTCATAATTCTCAGCAAGTAAGAAACCTCACCAACAATCAGCATTAATAATACTTAATAATTCTTCAATTCTAGGTCCTACATCCCCAGCTTTAAACAGAAAAACATTCAGATTTAAAACAAAAACGAACAACAAAAAATTCAACTTCCTCATTCTTTAGCTGTTCAAATCAAATTCTTCTCAAAAGCAAGCACTTTATTCTGATAAAGAACAAGTGCAAGCATGACACTTAAAAATCAAGGAGCACACTTAGGAGTTTTTTTTTTCCAATGCATTAGCTTCCATAAAAAATTAGCTAGGATCTATCACAAATATACTAACGGTGCCTTCTAATACAGAAGAGAAAGAAGTGTCAATGGCAACAGACTAATCACTGACAGAATACAGTTGTTCTTTTTTGTGTGAAGGGGCATCAAAAATATTGGATCTAACTGTAGATAAAAACTTCACAGAATAAAATGTACAGTCTAAATCTGAATGACCAAAGTATATTCCAATTAGAATCAAAATGCAGATATAAGACCAAATTCCATGCACAATTAGACAAATTGTGCATTCAGATGTGGGAACTGCATAGACTAAGATTTAAAATAACCAAAATACAAAAAGATTTAAAATAATCATGTTCAGGGGAAAGCTGGCTTTTTCAAGTGGACAAAGAGATCCTTGCCAAAGAAGAAATTCATTAAATTAGCAAGATAACTTAAGGAGAAAAAGAAAATACAGCCAACAATTTTTCCACTATAAAAATCTTGTTACTGCAGGAGAGGTCACCTACAGAAATCACAAGGCTTTGCCTCCCAGGGCTAGAAGAAATGGAAAATTGAATGGAATTACTCCTGGTTCTGTTCTGGGAAAGGTGCAAATATCTATCTTCTTGTCTGTTGACTGCACTGACAGTGGCCCTTCCTTCCCTTGCATGTTCACAGTACTTTGCAAGAGCTGCTCACACAACCCACCTCCTTCTGTGAACAAAGGATTCATGGACTAAACTGAAGAGAGTAGTGTATCCAAACTCTTAGAAAAAGGAGTCCAAGTCTTTCCCTACAGATGTCCTGAAGCCTGCTTGATCTCTAAAACTGGTAATAAGCTTGAACTGTTTTATCAGTTTCCTACAAAAGGATTATCCACAGTCTTCATCCCTTTGATTCAGCACATCTGTAAGTAAAGAGAGAAGCAGAAAGTTCCAATGAAATGCAGTTTTGTTTTTACCTGGCATTGGCTCCTTTAAGGTCACAGAAGTGTGAGAGTAAAGCTTTCACCACATCATTGCAGACAACTTTAACTACATCAACGTGACTCAGCCTCTGTCGCAGCTGCTTGGCAATCTCCCAGAAGTCTTCAGAGAGCAGCTGGTACAGCTGCCCCTCATCTCTGCTGAGTTGCCCATACCAGGACAGGATGTAATCTCTATAGCTGTAGTCAAACACTGAAAGGAGAAACAAAACAATAAATAGCAAAAGCTGCAAAAGGACAAGGCACACCAAGATAGGAAAAATATAGTCCTCCACCCTTCTCAAAAACTGTATGGGTAATAGGCTCTACATCTTCACATCTATTTCTTGCCAAAGAAAGTCAGGTTGGCAAGGTTACAGCAATCTGCACCTAACAGGTTACTGCAGGTCACTTTGCAAAGCAAAGATCTTAAGTGGATTTGCTCAGACAGTCAGGTTACCAGCCACAACCTCAGACTAATACCTGTCTCTCAGCAGTGGCTTTGGTTATATGAACTATCATATAATCTGACTGTGTCTAAAATGTTGCAAACTGAAGTCAGCTTTCTTTACATAGGAACTGAATAGTCTCCATTCCAATGTCATGGCTAAAAAGGGGAGGTGGTAAGATTTTTGGATTTCCAAAGACATATACAACACAGAGCACCACCACAGAAAGTACATTATAGGATCAGAAGTGTTAAGAGAGAACAAGTGGATTAGTGAGACCACATGAGCTTCAAAAATGACTAAGCATTCCAAACCATACTAACAGGTAATAACCAGTATTACTGTAATTGCAAATCCCATGGCAACAGTGTCTTCTACCATTCTGACCTTGCTTTTTGACATTTGTGTGTCACCAGTTTTACTGATGTTTCACTCCAGCAAATGTCCCTGGAGGTCTGAGGGAGCAGGAGATGTTCAGGGAGAACACATGAACTATTTAGCAGTTGCAGCAAGATGGGGGAAAAGCTGGGATTGTAAGAGTCATTTTGCATCTACCAGAGGGACAACAAAAAGGGGGGAATAAAGTCATGTGTCTGCTAATTTGAGCAACTTCTTTACTAAACAAGATGGTTTCAAACTGAGCAACTTCTTTAAATATTTTCACCTGCCTTTTCAGGCAAAACTATGAACATAACCTTGATAAAAATATTTCCAGGGAAACGGCTAAAACTGATAGAAATTTCCAGTCAAATGCTTGACAAGCAACCTTCCACAAGTTTATAAAGAATGCAGCAGAGTCACTTCAATGAATATGCTGAAATATATAGTTAAAAGCCTTTTGCTAAGTAATTTCAAGACTTTCAAATTAATAATTCAGAAAAAAATTCCACAGTTCTGTAAACAAATACAAAACAGGTTTGAAGATTTCTTTTTCCCTAATGCAGGAGAGAAAAAAGTATGCAGAGCAATATAGTAGGATTGGAACTTCTAAAATATATGAACTATTTCACTGAAAACTCTCACCCACAAATACTATGGAGTGATAAAACAGTTATAAAAAGTAGTGGCCTTCTGATGAGCAAGCAGAGGAATAATCTGTTAAAACACCACAGAATAGAAGGAATAGCACTTTAAAATCTGACATTTCATTACTTATCTCAAGTCTTCTAACAATACACATTTTAAGAATCTATTTTTCCACTGCTGTTCCCATGTCCTTCTGCAGCCACCTTTTTCTTATAGCTTGGTTACTTACTCTCTTCTGTTGCAAGGTCTGAAATGCTGTGGAAAGCTGATCACAGTACACATTCTTCCCTTTCATCTAATCCCTAAGAGATCAATAATTTCTCATGTGCACTTGCAACACTGCATTGTGGTATTTTTTCAATCAGCCTCACTAACAGGTAGTGACTTTTCAGATTTTACTACAGAATCCTCCTCTCTATCCTTTGCAAGGGTGAAAAGTAGCTGTTTCAGCATCTTTTGCCCAAGAAGTCAAGCCATGTTATGGAGTGGTGGCTCCTACAGAAATCTGTTCAACAGTACTCTACAAAGCAAGAGCACAAGAACAGAACTCACATCCCAATCCCTTAAGGATATATTGTCTTTCAGACTAAATCTATTCCTAATGACTCTTAATTTATAATTATTTTTAAGCAACTCCACTCCAAAATGAGCTCAGTTTCCAGTATTCTACATAACACATTCTTTTTCATTCCTTTTAGCCACTCATGAATTCTGTCACATTCAATGCAAAACAACCACAAAATCTATTGGCAATATCAAGTTAGAGACAAAAGATCATCAATCATCACCAAAAATCAACCATGCAATTACGAAATATTTCATTTGTGTTTAACTCTGCCAGTTACATACTTTCAACACCTTGAAAGGATTAAGGTGTTAAAAACACTGCTTTAAATCCTATTTTCCTACACCTGTGCTTTACAGCTTTCTTACTTCACATGTCTTCTGTAATTTCCTTGTCACTTCTGAACCTTGCTGCTCTTCCTGCATCATAACAGTACTTTTCTCTATAAAATTCAGGGTTCTTTAGAGCCCAGGATGTATGTTCAAGTGAGCAGTGAGACAACTTTTAAACAAATAAAATTTAAAAAGAATATCAGGCACAGACACTAACAACAGGCAGTTAAAGACTGAGTAAGACACTTCCTTGTGTCATCCTGGCCATGGTGTGCAGCTGCTGCTTTAGTTTCATGCCCAGTGATGCAGCTGGTGCCTTTTCAGCACTCTAAAGAAATTCAGAAAATAAATGTAACAATTTTATAGAGAGCAGCTTGCTCTCTTCAGAGGAGGATTCTGCTCATGCATCTATTCTCATTATTTTTATATTACGTGTTCTCTAAAACATTGAAAACAACAGTCAGAAGACAAGGAAGGAATAAAAAAATAAGCAGAACACATTCAGGACAGAACCTTACTCCCATTAACTCATCTACTACAAACATAAAACAAATTTCTTCTGATCAAATCAAATGCAGTGACCACAATGACTCTGGCGCAAAATTGTAGAAACTTCTACTGTGTTTTCTAAATTCATTTAGAAGACCCAAGTCCCAAGTTGTTACAATGCGATTAAATGCCATTCCCATGTGAAATTAAGTTGAGCTTGTTCAACTACTCTTTTTAAATACTGTAAACAAGAAGAGTGTTGGGAGTAGAGCCAGAAGCTTATGTGGAGATTTAGTGAGGACACCCCTCTGGACCCTTCCTTCATTCCTACTCCTACACATGCCCTACAGTAAGTGCTATCCCTTTTTCCACATTCATTCAAAGGTTCAGTGGCACCACCAGGGTCTGCAGGTCAGACGGGCTTCAAATCTGCAATTTGCAGAGCTTCACACTAGACAGTTTTTATATTGCTAAGATTCATTATCCAACTTTATTAAAAATAAAAATCAGAAGAACAAGGATTAAATGCCTACTTTTTTTCTTAAAGCAATATTAAAGAAGCAGCATAAATATTCTATGCAAATGCAGACAGACTTCCAAGTCTCAACAAGAAGTAACTGTTCTTTCCTGAAAACCCTGGAGAAGCCACAACCACTACATTAATTTATAGTCAAATCCAAAACACTCCTGTGACTGTATGAACAAATGAAGAAAAGGTATAGCTACAACACTGCCTTAAGTTATTTTAGAGCAACAAGCATTACCACCTGTAAAAGAGAAATATAAGGGTAATGTGAACAGTGTTAGGATCCTGCAGGAAGGAACCACCATAAAAAAGCCAAGAATCATTACCAGAATTCTATGCTGCTACAACACTAGATCTAACATTCATGATGGGGTTATGATAAGATATACTTTTAGGAAAATACTTTCAATAAAAAACTAACAGAAAAAGACTACAGACTACACCACAGCTAAGTACCTGTCAATGTACTGTTCTAGAGAAGTAAATGATAAATGCTGATTTACTTCTTATAGTCACTACCTTTTTCCCCTGCCAAAAGCCAGCTCAGACCAAAAACATCCAAACAACAAAAAACAATGACAATAAAAACATAAAAGAAAATTTAAAACCCCTACATTAAAGGTGGGTTTACAATTACTAATGAAATTACTAATAAATACTCTGAATATTCAGTTTTATAATTTCCAAGACATTAACATCTAAACTGAAAAAGAAGGCCATTATTCACTTACTGTATTTTAGATTTCACTGTGTTTTAGTTATACAAGTTAAGAGGATGAGGTTTTATGCTTAATATTAGCTTTACTGAAATTCCTCATGGCCACTAAATCTTTACTTAGACTATGGCGTCAAAGGCTAACAAAATTATGTCTAAATGCCATCATTTCAGTGACTAGTGAACTAGTGATAGTGGTTTAAAGATTTCAGTGTTCTTCTAAAGCTTGTGTTTGGAAAACCACTAGCATTTCTTGTTTTACTTCCACAATCAAATTCTATGAAACTACCAGGTTTAGCAGGCTAGATGCTATCACTGTGCATGGATAGATTGGCCCTGTGCAAAAGGAATCCCTGACAGTCTCCCAGTTCCCCAATCTCTGGGCCATTTTTATTGAAATTTTCCTGGCATTTGTGTCTTTATTGGTCTTTTGTGCAGGAAAAAAAAAAAAGAAGAAAATATATAAACAACAGAGAAAAAAATGTGTTTAAAATATCTCAGAAATGTAGTAAAATAAAAAAACCAGACAAATCTATGTCCAAATAATTTTCCACACACACCCTTTGCCATGAGTTCTTGGTTTCAAGTGTTTGAATACCAATAGCAGAGAGAACAAATTCAAATTGTTTTGCTGATAGTGGACCAAAAAAAATTTTTTGAAAGCTGTTTTTTGAAAAAATTAAAAGAATAAAAACAAAAAAACAAAAACAAAATACCCAACAGCTTTTCAAATAGAGAGCTGCAAGAGTTACTAGCAATTCTTTTTCTAAATGTCAAAATACTCATTTTAAGTTGGGAAATGAGACAGTTTTTTCCCAATCTTTCTGTAATGGGAAGTGCAACCTTACATCCCTAACAGAGTTAGATCCTAAGGGATCAAAATACAGACGGGCAAGATCTAATCCACAGAAAGAATCTAATTAAATACCCAAAATATTTCCAAAAAGATCACCTACAATCAGGATTGAAGGAAGAAAAACCCACTCTGAAAGAAGAGATGGCCCTCTGGCAGGAAATGTTTTAAGACCTAAGAAACAGGTGAATTTTCACCGTGGAACAATGTCACCAGTAGAGCTCTGCCAGGATTTGAGCTATGGCCTGTACTGTTTTACTTACTCATAAATGACGCAGTAAAATAGTTAAGTGATATGAAGACCATTCTTCTTGGCACTACTAAAATTGCAGAGACAAAGGCTGACCGTGAAAAACAACAAAAAGACCACAGGACTTGGAGCAATAAAAATGGAAAATGAAATTCAGTTCCTGGGAGGCCAGCTACCCTCACAGCAGATCAATGTCCTGACAGCTGCAGCCTCAACCCAAGCAGTACAAGCTGTACAAAGCAGCATGAGTGTGACTGGGCACAGCCTCTCAGGAGACATCTCATCACACTACAGTGTGGATGGAATGCAGACAAGCAACAGGTAGCACTAAAGGGTATTTGTAGAAGTGGCTTATCTTCTCTTTTTGTAAGATAAATGAAGGTCAAACAAAAATCAAATCAATCTCTCAAGAGAAAGCATGAAAAGTACTGAAAAAACATATTTCAGTGTTAGCTACTTAAGTACTACTAGATGAAAAGGAGACTTGGGGTTGACAATAAAGGCCTTCTCTTTCTGCCATATTCAACAAAGAAAATCCTCTTTGTAACCTTATACATACTCTGATTTTGAACACTTAGATTTCATAAAACACAACACACTGTGGCAGTCAAAACTTTCCCCTACCTTATATCTACAGCTAAGACCAGTATCCTATAATTAAAAATGAAGCACCACTCTAAAGCACCAACCAGTTACACTACTTTGCTCTTAATGAAAAATAAAGACATTTAGGGTTGGGGCAGTAAACCAACATATACAAATGTTCCTTCTTGGTGATGTTTAGTGTGAGACACGTTGTGGAAGGATGATTCTCAACAATTTTATTACATGGGCTGCAGCAAGACAAGAAGCCATATAAAGACACAGGCAACTATTATCCGCCAGTGACCATCACAGGAGAACCATCTAAACATCTAATAGTTATTGAAACAGGACTGATGGTTGAAACTGAAACATGGATGATTCCTTTGGTTAAAGCAAGGATACTACAGATAGATATATCTATAGGATAGATACTATCTATCCTTCCAACTACATTAAGAGACTATGATGGGAACATCAGGAAAAATGCTGTAAAGCAAGTGGCAGTTTGAAGTGACACAGAAACTCAGGTGAGCCACACTAAACTCAGAGAGAAAGGTCCACACAGACTTGCTATAACACCAGCAAAAACATGGCATGACTAACAACAGGCAGTTCTGGAGGGGTGCAAGGTAGTTAGCAGCTAACAGTAAACCCCAGGCAAACTTAACTACACAATGATAAAAACAGCAGGAGAAATCAGAATTAACCAAAGGGGTGTCTCTTCATACTCAGCAACAGCATTTCCAATATCAGATGACATTACCTATGCATCTCCAAGGTAAAGAAAAGTAAAATCTGTTTTTTAAAGAACAACAAAACACCCCCCCCCCCAAAAAAAAACCCACACAAAAACCCTCACACCCTAAAACTTCAAGAGGCACTAGGAGTCCAAACTGGCCCCCAAGATTAAAACCTCGTTACAAATGAATGTCTCCTAGCTAAAGCATTTTGTTGAGTAGTGCATTACATCTAGACAGCAAAAAGTTGTCAAAAATTCCTGGGAATTATAAGTACTTTAATCCTAATCAGTGCAAGATTGGAAACACAAAAACAGATGGTATTTTTTTTATATCACTAGTAATAAAGTTTTATTTAACCACAAACTTATGGGGAGAAAACAAACAAAAAAAAACCCCACCATTCACATCAAGACAACTACAAATTTCAGAATTATCACAGGCAAAAAGTCCTGTCTATTTTCATAGAAACTGACCATTTTGTACTAATAAAAAATGAACTACTGCTTTAGGGACTGCATTCAGTATTTCAAACTGATTGCATTCAGTATCTCAAGATGACTCAGTCACCTTTCAAACTCAAAACACTTTGTATGGTAGAGCAAAAAGTACAGTCTCAAAACAGAGAAGTTGGCTTCATCACTTAGGCTGGAAGAAATAAAACTAAATCTGACAAGTTTGCTCTCCAAAATTCAGAGTGAGATAGGAAGGTAAAAGCTACTCTGAAAAAAAATAAAATCACAGAAAGGCATGAGCTGTCACAGCATAAGGTACTTAACTAAAAAATGAATCATTTAAGTAACTTTCAGCCTTACTGAGTAGGGATGGCCTCATGCATCCAACTCCATGATGACATAGGTAGGTAGTATTCCAATTTTTTAATTTTGCTACATATCCTGCTAATAGCTATTCATAAAAATAACTTTAAAAACATAACACATACCAAGTTGTCATAAGACAACCAGCTCATTTAAAGCAATTATAATTTTCAAAGATACTCTCAATTTGTGAAAAAGATAGGAAAAAGTGCTGCAAAGAAATCTTAAAGGAAAAAGTATTCGAAATTAGATAAAATATTTACAAAAGACTGATACACTGTATCAGCCAGAAATACAAATGTTGATTTTAGAGTCAGTTTTAAAGGCAAGAATTGCACTAAATGGGAAGACTGTATGCAACTGTCTACAGGATTTCTCAATTCAGGAAAACCCAGTCAAGAATATTAAAGTGTTATCCCTTTGCTTTGTGCACAAGTATTAAGGACTATATTTCAAAGTATTTCTGTAAAAAAATAGCCACTACAATGACAAGGTGTCAGTTGAACAGTAAAAGCAACATCACGTTACTTATTACAGTGGTTTTCTTTAGAAGAGTAAGACCTTGCCACTCTATTTTATACCATGGAAAAAACCTGGGTCATATTCTAAAGTCTTGGAATATTGTGCAGCTATGGTTTGCTAAAATGACAAGAGATATTCAGACTCCAATGCACCTAAGACTCACCTTCTTTCAGCGCTTTATCCATATTGTGAGAAATAACCACTCTCCTTGACTGGATTGAATCATGAGAGCTTCCAGACCAGTTAATCTGAAATTCAAACAGAATATACATGGTCAGAGGCAGAAATAAACCAAAAGTTACAGAAGGAATAAAACTGCAATTCAAGGCAATAGTACTGTATCATTTGGTTTTATACAAATATTGTCACGTCCTATGGTTAAAACAGAAGATTTTGTCTATGAGGTTATTATACATTGTTCATTAAGCACATATTAACACTTGTGCATCATATATTGTACACCTTGTAAAATTATCTTAAGGTTTTTTGGTAGAAAGAAGCTGTATTCATTTGCAAGACAGTGCACTAAGAATAGGACATGTAAGTAACAGAACAACTGGAACTCTTTTATTCACTATTTTCACAGCAAATAAAACATTTTTATAGCCTACTGTGACAATGGACTTAATTTAGCCTTGTAAACTGCTTTTAAAACAAACGAGAAGCCTTCAGATAGATCAGTAATTTTGGTTCATATTCTTTTGGCCTTCTTCCTTCAAAGATACTTCTGGCCCTCTGCATTTTAAGCTGCTGTCCTATACAAATATTTGTCTTTATTGGAGTATTCACTCCCACAGTGCCCAAACAGGTGGGCGGATGGAGAAACATTTTTCAGGGTGCAGACAAAGAGCAGTGACTCATGATGTATTTATATAGAAAGGAGTATAATTCAAAACAGAAACAGCAACTTTTCCCACTGTCAGTCAGCTTGGAGCTCACTCTTCTTTGCAAGGAGAAAGCACTTCAGAAACATCCCCATCCCCAGAGAAAGCAGTATAAATATAAAAACACTGTTTAATGCTCTTAAAGGTAATATACCATTATTTCAGCCAATTTGCAGGCCAATACTCTGTATTTTGATTAATTGTTTTCATCTACTTCAGATACATGCATTTAGAGTCTAACAAAGTTCATCCAATTGGACCTAAATAAAGGAGCCTATGCACTACTTTTAACAGCAAAATAAACCTTTTCAGGCACACAGCAAAGTGACAGGTACTTTCCACACTTGAGTGCCTCCCTGCCCACAGCTGATTTGTTCCACCTTTTGGATGAATGTAGCAACACTCCCTAGACTTCTCCCAGTCACTATTCTGAGACCATGATTGTGGTCTTTCAGCTGATTTCTTCCCTCCTTCACAACACTACCAATGGCAGGAGCAGCAAGACCTCAGCACATCTGCCTCCATTTGCAGTCCCCCATCACTATCAAGACAATAGTTAATGATAGGTAAGAACAGAGTATTTAGAGAACCACTACAGATTTCCAAGCCCTTTTCTGACCTGAACACAGGTAAAAGCTTCAGCCACACCCAGGTAAACAGCAGGAGAAAGTATTTTTTCTCTTTATATGGACAGTCAACACTATTTGTGAGGCTCCAATACATCATATCTAGCTGCTAATGTTATCACACTTCCTCAACACAAAGCTGTGTAAATGCCAGTCACACAATTACTTCAGGATCTTTCTGCTTTATTTGCAGCAGGAAACTGCATGATTTCAAAAATTAAAAAGAGAGGACTCATTAAACACCCCAAGTACCTTAGGGGAAGGGATTCAGAAAACCCGATTAAACGAACTCACTCAGGGAGTTCCTAAAGATGAGCCCACAGTCCTGACTCAAGCTCCATGCTCAAAACACTCCTCCTTCATTAACACTCATGCCAGCCTGGGTATCTCACAAGGCTAATCCTTCTGCTGAACTGAGTCCTACCTTCATGGAGGCCAGTGACCTCAAGCTAACTTAGGTATCACAAATTGCATCACAAACATCGCAGGAAGCGTTTTTTATGGCCTAAAGCATCAGGAAGAGCTCCAATGCAGTGCTCGCCAAATTGCTCCTTTCAAAACTAGTTTAAACACAAGCTAAACATAAACAAAATTTAAAAAAAAAAAAAAAAGAAAGCAAGCAACCTTCAGGGGGGATTATAGTTGCAAGAAGGTAAATAGCTTCAGTGAATTTCCACATCAACATACTATGATCCAATCTGTGTAATACCAAAGAGCAAGAACTGATCATTTGTATGCTTCAAACTTGAACCCTCATTTTAGGAACAAGGCTGACTACTACTGACTCAGCAAAATGCTGCCTCTTGAACACCAAACATCAGCTCACACTTCAGCTTGCAAGAACACATTCCAATGACAGCATCCTCTACAGCTGGTATATTTGACTTCTAAAAGGCACCATCTATTCATGTAAAAAAACGGTTGTTCAAGATGTGATAAAAAAATAATGTAAAAGGTAAAAATTAATACCACCACTAGCAATAATGATGCTGCTGCATGAAAGTAATTACTGAAGGGCAAAGATGCACAGTGTATTGGACTTTCTGAGTAGTTTTCCATACACATACAGATATTGCATACAACCATGAACTGTGGAAAAGCAAAGAGCAAAAGAAACCACCTTGGTTTAAAATAAGGTTTCAACTTCATTAAAAAAACAAATTTTCAAGAACAGATGAGAATCTAACATTTGAATAAACATTCATATGTATAGGAGTGATCATAAAATTATCTGTGTTGGAAAATACCTCTAAGAGTTCAAGCATTAACCTATGAGACTGGGTGGGTTAGTTCAGGTTTAAGGAAAAAACACTTCAGGGAGACCTTACTGCTGTCTCCAACTACTGAATGACAGGATACAGAGAAAAGGGAGCCAGACTCTTCTTGCAGATGCACAGGACATTAGGAAACATTGCAACACAGGAAATTCCCATCACAAGGCAAAACTATTTTAATCATGAGGCTTCTCAAGTATCAGAATAGGGGTGCTGACAGGCTGTGGAGTGTCCATCTCTCAATCTTCCTCACTCTGAGCAAGAAGGTGAACTAGATGCCCTACAGATATCTCTTCCAACCTGAACTATTCGTGATCCTTGATGACTCCTCAGAGAGCTGTTAACTTAATTTCATGATTGATAACATATCAGACCTAAAGGTGTCTTGTCTAAAACAGCTAATCAAACTCACTTTTTCTTCACATTTTATGAATTATGTTTCTTGCATTTAACAGAACAAAGACTTAAGTCTTGTTAGTTTAGGTTTGCTTTCAAAAAGTACTGTTTCTGTGACAATAATAATAACAATGAATTAATTAAATAAGCAGGCACCCCCAAGTTAGAAGACATATGGAAACAAACACCTTAGAAACAACAGCAACAACCTGGTAACACAGATAACCAACATCTGTGACAACAGAAGGATTTCAGAAAACTCATAGTCCAAGCTCAGCTCTAACAGCTGAGAGAATGAAAAATACAGCATATTTCACTGGAAGACTTTCTTCCCACCCCTGACTCAAGTCAAATGGAGGGCATATGTAGAAAACAGGTTCAGCAAGAAAGCCTAGTTTTGAATGTTCTCACATTTTTCTACTTGTTATTCATCTAAGGAAAAATGGTGCTAGATTTCATAATATTTGGCAAATATTTTTTCAAATAGTTGGCATAACCCTGAGCCAAATACATTTGTAAATTGATTTAACACTGTTGAAGTTCTAGTTTAGATGCTCTTCTATGCTGATTGAAACCTGGCACATTCCTCTAAGTCCTGACTCACACTATCACAGGCCTCAATAATTTATTTTTTTTTTAATTGGTGTCAAGACAGTTGGGTTCCATTCTGTAGATTTTATTGGCAGATAATGACAGAAACCAGACTGAAACATAAATAAAACTTAAAAGGACTTGAAGGGGTAGGGGTGGAGCACATTTTGAAAATATATGCTGAGAACATGGTTGCTAACAAAGAGGGAGGCCTGTTTCCTGGAACAGTTCAAGTTTTCCTCAGTTTTGACTTTGCATACAGGCTCAAAAAAGGGATGTGTGCATTTCCTGCAGACTTTTGAACAACACTCATTGTTTGATACTTTTGAAAACTATTTAAGATGAAGAAAACAACAGTCTAAATGGGCCAAGAAAAGAAAAACCTGACATTGAATATGAAATTTTGTCTTCAGTTCAGTCTCCTACAGATACAAAAATTAAGTAAATGTCATTTATTGGTTTAAACTATATAAGTAATTTTAAATTAGCTCTGAAAACGAAAATACATGTTAAGGATTTAAGAAAGTATTTCAACAACAACACTCAATAAATGGCAAAGCGCAGAGAACACAGGCATACCTTCCACTACCAAGAAATTAATTTGCAACACTTGGCATCAAATGTAATTTTTAAAACACAGCAGCAGAAAGCCTGGCACCTGCTACAGGCACACCACATGCAGCTTTACTCTGCCATGGAATTAAGGCCAGAAGCAGAGAAAAATTTACAATTACTCCTATTACATTAACTCAATTACAGCAAAACTAGAACAGAGATCACGACAGATGCCACAATATAAATAGGCACTGTGGAATAGAGATGTTTAATCACTGATCTGAAAGGCTAAGACTGTGTCTAATTCAGCATACACAAATCAACCAGTTACTCATAGTTACCAATTCCTCCCTACTACCTTTCCTCTTATCTTTGTAAGACATACATTAACATCAGCCTTGATGTTAATGTATGTCTTTGTATTATGTATGTCTTTGTATAATGGTCCTTGTATTATCAGGACCTTGATAATAAAGAGTCACAACCTCAAACAATACTTCACTGAACTCTCCATAAATTCATATTTAACATATATGGATAGATATGTTCTTATTCACATATTACTTCATATAGATGTTCTTATCCAAGCATTACTTCAACTAATGATGCAAAAATAAATTTCTGTTCACAAGAGTTAATATTTTTTAATTTATATTTAGTCCTATTTAAGCTTACATGACAAGTATGTATGTGTCACATTCAGCATTAGGGATACCATAATTACCAATTTAAAAGCCAACATACTTAAAGCATGTTAATTCTATTATCTTAAGCATCATTATATCAATTATTTTATGATACCATCTCATTATTTCTACTAATATAGTAGCTCTTGGAACATGTAAACTGTGTTTATCAGATGGGGATCTTCAATCTCAACTGTACCATGTTTAAAACCAGTAAAACTGTAACAGTATAAAAACTTTATAATCAGGGCAGAACTTTCTT